CGGCCGGAGCGGAGAAGTTTGCGGCCGGCGGGGCCGCGCCGGGCCGGGCTGCTGCCGCCGGCCATGGGGTTCCGCCGCCGGGCCAAGAGCCACCCGCTCTTCAGCCAGGAGTTCCTGCTCCACAACCACGCGGACATCGGCTTCTTCCTGGTGCTCTGCGTCCTCGTCGCGCTTATGTTCGAGGTGGGAGCTGCCCCCGGGCCATCCCGCACCCTCCCCCTGCTGCCCCCCGTGCATGCTGCTCTGCCTCAGGAGCTGCCCTTCCTGCCCCCCTCCTTGAGGGGAGCTTTCTCCCCTCTGCCTCTGGGACCCAGGCCAGTGCCCAGCACGTTGCCCCTTTGCTGGCTGCGGAGGAGGTGGCGACAGGGCTCCCGGGGTACGTCCGGGGGTCGCTTCCCTGCCATGAGGGGGTGGCCGTCTCTATGGGACCCCTAGTCCTAGGTATGGGGTCTCGGCCACGACTGTACCGTCTTGTCCCTCTCGAGGAGGGAGATGGCATCCTGCCGCCTGTGCTTTTGGGTGGGGGGGTGGTGACCCTTGTCTCCCTCCAGGGCTTTTTGCTGTCAGGGCAAGTGCTTTTCCTGCGCTAAGCGTGGTGGCAGGGCTTGTTTTCAGGCCGGGGGCAAGAGGGTGCCTGAAAAGATATTGTTTCTTACTGTCGCACCCAGTTCTGGAGCAGGACCCTGCGGTGCTAGGTGCTGGGCAAAGGCAAGAGCAGAAAGACGGTGCCTTCCCCCAAAGAGTTTGCAAAGGGCAGGAGCTGGTAGCATCGGTGTGATGGGCACCAGGTTGCCCCCCCCCTCCCTCCAAGTCCTGCCTCCTCCGGTGGTTGCGTGTGTGGCTGTGCAGGGACAGCTTTTGAGATTTTCATGGGGAAAACCCCATGCCGTTTCCCATCCTGTGTGGTTGCAGGGTGCCTGCAGCCAGGCTGCAATCTTATTGCTCCAGGCACGGTCTTTCCTTGGCAGGAGGGGTGGGGGACTTCCACGCAGCACCTAGGCGGTGATGGGGAGTCAGGTGCTGGACCAGCCCCAGTGGGACAAGGCTGGGTGCTAGCCAAGTCCAGAGCAGGGGACTGCTTGAATGGGGAGAGAGGTGTTATTTGATTCAGTTTGGACTGGGGACATAACGGAGATCTGGGCTCCTCTGGGTTGTTAAAGACCCCCTGGTGCTTCTCAGGATGGCTGGGAGTGATGGCCTTGCTGCCCTTCCTAAATTCGAACCAGCAAAAGGGGGCATGAGATTTTATCTGAGACCCTTTCCTTTCCTCTCATAGGTGTGGTACGGAGGGGCGGTTTAATGCGCTGTGCTGGGAAGAGAAACTTGCTCAGAATATCTTTTGTGGCGGAGGGGAGATGTGTGTTTGGGGGGGGGGTCCCTTATCTAGGTGACCACTCATCTCTTCAGTGGTCCAATCTAAAAGGATTTTTAAGAAATGCAGCCTGCTCTTAACCCCGGATGCACAGCAGACCCGTGGCCGTCGTGCTTGTGTACCAGGCTTTGTGCTTTCGGGGTTCCTCCTATGCTACCGCCGGGTTTGCCTGGCTGTGCTTGGATGGCAAAGTGCACCGGAATGTGTGAAACCAGGGAAAATGGGGGGTTTGGGGGTTTGTTTTTTTTAAGCTTTCCCTAGCTGGGAGTTACTTAAAGAAAAAAGTTGCTTTGCTTGCATGGGGCGGTGTGGATAGGAGGGGATGCGGGTGTGGAGTAGCCCCTTCTCCCTTCCTCTCCTCCTGTTTCCCATTCCCCCAGCTCTGTCCCTTTTCTCTGAAGGAGGTGTGGAGGGAGACAAGTCTTGGAGACCAGAAGCTGTCTGTGCTGCTTTTCCTTTCAGACCCGGCCACACCGCTCCTGCCATCTTCCTGTCCTCCCAACCCTGGAGGTAGAGCCGGGCCAAAACCATGGTTTGCTCTGTCTTGAGAGATGTCCCGTGAGCCCAGCGTGCTCCGACTAAAACAAGACCAGTCAAAGAAGCTCCGTGCAAGCCCACGGCCACCCATGCCCCAGGAGGAGATGGGCACCGTCCGGTCACTCTGCCCAAAGAAGGAGCCCCGTGACTTCCCTCCCGTCCCCATGCCGGGGATGGGAGGGAAGTCCCTTCCTGGGGAAGTCCCTTCCCTGAAAGTCTGTCCGGTCTCTGCGGGGCCCTTTGTCAGCCTCTTCTCCTGTTTTATCCGTCTGAGGGCCCTGCAGGCCCGCGGGCACCGCGGAGAGGAGCAGGGACTCGGGGAGAGCAGGCTCCTTGCAGCCCTGGCGCTTGGCAGAGAAATGTCAGGAATGTAGCGCTTCCCTCCCCTTCCAGCTTTCCTCTTTCTCCCCTCGGAGGGGAGGAGACGAGGGCGGGTGCTTGGCGGTTCCTGCTGAACAACTTAGCCCTTCAGGCTTGCTCCATACGTGGAGCTGCGCAAGTCTGTGGTCAGTGTCTCAACTGAGTGTGAATGTGTCTGACGGAGACGGTTCCCCCCCTCGCCTCCTGCCCTCCCTTCCCAGCTCAGTGCCACGTTTCAAAAGCAAATTGAGACTGGAGGGTAGAGGGGGGGAGTCTCTTCCAGCAAATGGGAGGAGAAGAAAATCCACTTCCTTAACACCCCCCCCAACAATTTTTCCCCTCCCTTTCATCGCAGTGCCCTGAATGAACAAGTAGTTTCCAGTACACAGAAAACCGTAATGTCTTTGAATGTTTTTTTTTTTTTTCTCCTTTCCCCCTTAAAACTCGGAGCCAGAAAGGCCAGCTGGCTGGGGCATAAATTCCAAAACCACATGCAAATGCTGCTAAGTCGGGCATGCCGGCTGCAAGTTTCTTAGTTGCACTTCGGGGGGGGGCGGAAATAGAAAATAACATCAGGGACTTTTCAGAGGACGGCTCTGCTGTCTGGGAATGCAGAGGTGTGCGCCGGTGCTTTTACCGATACTGTTGTTGCAGTGGGGAGCTGGGGGGTGGCTTTGAGTATTGGGTTGCAGCTTGCTGGGATAGCTGCCTCCATGCTGTGTGCCAACTCAGGCTCTAGTGAAGTGGTCTGGATGCAGACATCCCTTTATTACCCTGAGCCGGATGGGTTGTCCTGGCCTGTGAATGCATCGCTTAGAGGGCTGTTTCAAAACCCTTGACCTTTTTCTCTTGCTGACAGTGAGCATGCCCTGACCAGGCCTTGTTTCTGCCGTCTTTAGCCTCAGAGCCACGTGCTAAATAAACTCAGTCAGGCTTTTTGAAGCTTTAGCGCAGTCGGAAGATGTCTGATCGACAACTGTAGTACAGCCTACGTTAGTAGTTTTATTCGAACCTTCCACTGTGGCTGCTGGTGACAGGGTGGGTAAGAACGGGATGTAGTTCCCAGCCAGACCTTGGGATAAAATGCTCCAAAGCACCAGCATGATGTCAGCTCCTAAAGCCGTGCCTGAGGCATACTTATCGTTCCTGGAAGCAGTGTTTTCCACCCCGCATCTCAAATCAGGAGCATCCAGCTCGCCGCGTGGCCTGGACGTGTCTACACTGCTTCAGTTTGAGAGGCAGCACTCGGGGAGCAGCGGAGTGCAGTTGAGGGCATGATAAGGTTTCTGTATAGTTGGGGCCCCATGTAGGTGGGGCTTTTGATCATTTTGCCCCTTGTAAGGCTGGATTTGCAAAATTCATAGAAAAATAGGGTTGGGAGGGACCTCCAGAGGTCATCTAGTCTAACCCACTACCTGAGACAGTATCGTCCCTATCCAAACCATCCTATAAAAATCCATTGTCTGCCCTATTAGTGAAACTGCGTAGTCAACCCTAATACAACCACAAGACATAACACCCTAACCAGCCACAGAAAAGAATGGGGGGACCACGGTGGCCAACATCCTGATGCTGCAACGGTCATTAAAATATTCTGGAGAGATCCAAGGAAGAGGGCCATACCCCTTGCTACACAGGAAGGCAACCCTCCTGTCCCCAAGTTCATACCAATCTGACTATGGGGTAAAATTCCTTCCTGACCCAAAATATGGCAGTCAGTTTGACCCTGCGTGACAGGGCAAGATCCTCATAGTCAGGAAACTCTGGCTTAAGTTCTAGCAGATGCATTGGCGCACCCCAGCCTTGGCTGCAACACCCAGTGCTTCTGAGGATGGTGAAACTATCCTCCCCCACCCCAATATAGGTGGTAGCAGGAGGGGAAAAAATTCCTTCCTAGCCTCATATAGCAACCAGCAAAGCCCAGAAGCATGGGAAATACCCGTAGTAGAGCATAGGCATCGCTATGCCTAGATCATTCCCGACCTGTGGCTGTCCAACCTCTTCCCGAACTCTCCTTGGCCCCCAGTTCTTGGTCACTGTTGGCGATACCCTCGCCCTCTTTCATAACCAGGACCCATAACCCAGGTGGTACCTCTGCTTGCACTCTTGCACGGAGGCTCTTGCCATCTCCTGCTACTCATTCCTCCCTAGTGCTTCCAAGATCCAGCCTGCATCCGTTTGGCTAGAGCAGTGATTCTCAACCAGGGCAGTACAAGATCTTTTTAAGGGTGTTGGGGTATGCTGCACTGTTATTAGTGCTATTAGGCATGCAGACACCTGCACATGCTTCACAAGAGAAACCCAGGCATTTCAAATAGGAACCCAGCGTACCAAAACCACTCGACCTGGTGTAGGCTGAATTCTTTGCACCAGAAGAATGACTCTCTCATGTTTCTGTACTTAAGAAATGAATGAAAGCTAAGAGATGGCATTTTTTGAGGAGTGCCTTGAGTCTAACAAGGGGTGCCTTGTGTTGAAAAATGTTGAGAACTCCTGGGCTAGAGGCTGTTTGCCCCAGGCAGGCTCTTCCCCTGGGAGGGGTGTACCGGGGCTACAAGACATTTAATGTCTTATCCAGAGCCATAGGCAGATAGGGTTCTTTGGGTAAATGGGATATCTTTTATCAGACTGACTAAATAGTTGGAAAAATTGTTCTTTGCAAACTTTCAGGGACAAACACCCTTTTGGGGCATAGGGAAAGCCATGCAGACAGGTTGGGCTGGGGTGGCTTGTGGCTGAGGTCCTGGAGCACGGTGTGCAGAGCTTGCCTTTGCCCCCGTGGCTGGAGCTGGGCTCCCCGTGGGGTGTCTCGGGTCTCTGCGCAGCCAAAGTCCTGCTATCCCTACAGACTTTCTTGTGGAGACGCTCCGGAGGAAACGTCGGAGCCCAGCCTCACAATAGACCGTTTCCGGTCAGGAAGGATTTCTCAGGGCTCCCAGCACTTCCCAGAAGGCTGGGAGTATGTTAATAGGGTTTAACCCTTTCCCTTACACTGGGCCACAGGGACACTGCTGTCCCAGGTGGTCTCTGTGCCTGGGGGCTGCCGGTGCACCTTATCCCAATCATCTTTAATAGTCCCTGGGGCAGGGGCCAGAACCCAGATCTGCTTTTTCCCAGGGGAAGTGTCCTCATCACTGGGGAACAGAGGCAGGCTCCCTCATTCTTACTCTTTCTCTAATCCTGTGAATCTGGCATTCATGGCTACACAAGAAGGGTGGCTGGCCGTCGGGTCACTTTCCCAGGAAGTGGGAGACGAGGAGGGCCTACAACTTAGGTCTCCCACTTTCCGGGTAAGCGCTCTAAGCACTATTCTATTTTTGAAGGCCTCTTAGTTCCCACCACCACAGTTGCATTGTTGAATGGAAGTGGCTGCTATGCCTTGGGCTGAAGGCAATACTGGCTGTATTCATTAGGTGTGGTCTGAGCCTGCCTAACGAACGAGTCCCCTCCAGGGACTTAGGGGTGGGGAGGCCTCACTTGAATGTCCTTGGGTGGGAGACAGGCCCAGAGCCCCTCATATCGGGCAAGATGGTGGCAGTACTGGACACAAACAGTCGCAGGGCATGCGGTGCCAAAGCGAAAACACCGGCATTCAGCATCTAGGCAGTTGGGCAGCATTTCTGGCATCAGGGGCAAGTGGCTGGTCTCTGCCTTTGCCCTGTAGGCACCAGCATCCTGTTTTGGGTCCATGCCTCAGCTCATCACCCAGCACAATAGTAGCAAAATGAACCATGTTTCTTCCCTCCTGAACCCACCATCCAAAAATCATAAGGCTCATGCCTTTCATGGGACAAAAGCATGTTTGAGGTTGAGCTGTTCGGTGCCATCCCAGTTGCATCCCAGAGTTTGTGGGAGGCAGGAAGGGGCGCGGGATTCCCCAGCATGCGAGTTCGCTCCTGCAGACCTGCCAGCACCCGGCGGGAGGCAGCTGGGCCGAGCGGGCACTGGGGAGGACTCGCTCTGGATGTAAATCAAAGCAGTGGCAGAGAATCGCTTCTGTTTCCAACAGGGAAGAGCCCTCGAAACTCCTTGCTTCAGTCCCAAATTGCTCCTTAGTCACTGAATCTTCTTAACGACGCTGTAGCAATGAATGCATGTCTGGAAGGACTGACCCAACTTGCTGTGGACTACACCTGGCCAGGTGTGTGATGCCAGTGCTGTGACGTGAGCAACTTCCGCTGCCACTTGCTGTTGCCTTGCTGGCCCACCTCCTCCCCAGATTTCTGTCATCAGCATCTCCTAGCTGCATTCCTCTTGAGTGGGTATCACTATCCCCATTCTACAGAGGGGGCAACTGAGGCACAGCAAGGGGAAGGCAGTTGGCTAAAGTCACCTAGCAGAAGGGTCAGAAACACAGTTCAGATCTTTGGCAAGTCCTGAGTCCCAACCTAGTGCTCTCTCTGCTGCCTTGCACAGCTGGAAATGGGCAGGATAACAAACTTCTGTGATCTGGTGTTTAAAATCTTGTGGATCACAAGCAGCAGAGGTGCTCTGGTTCTTGCAGTGCACTTACCTCTTGTCTCCATGATGCTTTTGGTGGTGTGGCCTTGCTAAATTTGGAAACAGCCTCTCGCCTCCCTCTGCCCTGAAAGCAGTGGGGAGTTTTAGTTTAG